TATTTCCTTTATTTTTTTCAAGCTCGTTTTTTCAGCCTTTTTTCCAGCGTGAGTTTCACTTTTGTCCTGCGCTGGGGTAGAAAAAAGTTATAAATCATTTGGCTGGGCATATTTTTAATAGAGTTGTTACTTTTGTTTATTATGTTGTTATTCTCGCTTCTTCTGCGTTTTGGCTGGTTTTTTTTGGCACTTTTTGAAAAGGGTTTGCCAAAAAAATACCAAAAAAAAAGAATGTTAAATATCTTCTTTCATGCTTAATCTTTTAATTAATAAATATAATAACATTTTTTTCCGCTTCATTGCAGGTGAGTGCGCCACCTATACTAAGGTACACCTCCAAATATATATAGATCTGTGTCATACTAGCTAGTTCCATTGGCTTCCATTTGCGGTTACAGAAAATGACTTTAAAGTTTTCCCTTTCAACCCAAAAAGCCAATGGAAAGGAAACTAAATAGGCAAAAGGTAAAACCCCACAATTTCCAATTCAGCAACAACAACAAGCTGCCTACATCATCATTATCATCGTCATCATCAGCCCCATCAGCGTCATCATCGTCAGACGCCCAACATTTCCTTCCGCTGGGCTTTGGGGTGCCCAGAGCGTAGCGCCGCTTGCAGCCATGCCACATTTGACGCCTTCAAAACCACAAAAGCATTACAAAGCGAAACAGCTTGAGCTGAAGCTGCACGACTGATAGATATCCTGCAATTGCCTAGAGTAATATGATATGTTGAGTAATTAAAAAGGAAGAAGCAGAAGAGAAATATAAAATATATTTTCTTATACAGGATTTAGGATTTATTTTTATATGTATTCATAGAATATATTTTTATATACAGAGAATATTTTAATATGCTTTACAATATTTTTTTAAAATACAGGGTATGTTTGAGTATATTTAATAACACTTTTTTTTAAATACAGGGTATATTTTGATATGTTTTTAAAATCATTTTTGTATACAGGGTAATTTTTTTGTATTTTATATTTTTCATAATTATATTTAATATTTTTCAATTGATATATTTAATGTGGATTTCTTAACATAATATGAGTTTGCTGAGTATATGCTCGAATTCATAATACCCTACAATATTTACACAAACATAAATCTCAACTGAAATGTCAACTATGCTTTAAATATTTATACAAACCTTCCCTGATTTGCACATAAAATCTCTTTATTGAATTACACCCCATTGCGTGCGCGCTTACAGGGTATCGCAAGCAACTAAGAAAGTCTTTCGCCACGAAAAAGGGGGTGGCACTAACCTCTAACTACCGTTAGCATATGCTGCATGCAGGGGCTAAATTTCAGCCATGTTGTAAAGCCCCATGATTGATGGCTATTTGGCTCTGTGCTGTTTGCTATTTTCTATTGGCATCTGCTGCGCACCTGTTGTAGCTTAGACAGCGCATTATCTACTGACTTTGGTGTTTTTATTATTATAATGTATATTAGATATACAGTTATGTATGGAACTGGAGAGCTTACGAACTGGAGTTGAAAGTAAAAATGGTTTTACTTACATCTGGATAAGAAAGAGGTCTTCTGTGAGAGATTGGTGACTAGAGATGAAAGTAAATGGATTTGCTTATCTATATAAATATATATATATATATTCTTTATATATTATCTATATATATATATTTCTATCTGCAAATTAAATAAACTTTTTGCTTTGATCTCAAGTTTTGAATTTTTTTCTTGATTCAGTTTTCGAGCATCTATCAAATATACACTCAAAATATTCATAGACAGGAAAATTCAAAAAATGTCCAAGTCTGATTTCCTTTAAGGTATCTCTGACATATATCAAATACCTTAAAGCTTTAAGCACTGAAACACCTTTCAGTGTGACGAATTCAGTCAAAGAAATTCGCCAGATTCTGAAAGTTTTCACTTTCTGGCCAGAGTTGAGGCAGCATGAAAAACAGCTAAACAGTTGCCTAAACAACGCCACAGTTTTCACTTCCGGGACTTGTACGTCAATGTCAACTTTGACAGGAGCCAAAGAGCGACAGAGACAGAGAATGAGAGGGAGACAGAGAGAGAGAGAGAGCGAGAGATGACAGGCAGCAAGGCATGGATTTACTTTTATTTTATTACTGTCATTGTTGGCGAACTGCTTCCGTTTCAACCTTTAGCAAGGGGGTTGGCCACGCCCACGCCCGCCTCAAGTTGCTCGTCTGTTTTTTTTTTTGGGACTGCACTTGGCGCTTGTGGGGGTTGGCAGAAGTTTTCAGCCATGTTGCAAGGCTGCTGTCGTTATCCTTTTGCTCGACTGGCGCCTTTATCATCCATCTGCGCTCAGTGTTCCTTCAGCAACGTTCGTTATCTGCTGTTTAGCCAGGCGCATGTGTGTGGGTGGGGCAGCATCTTTTGCTTTTTGGGCAAGTCGTAAATTAAAAATGGCTTAATATGTAAATCCTTGCCTGCACTTTCTTCGCTGGCCGCCTGCAGATTAGTTTTGTGGATATTTGAGCTTATGGCATGTCCCTGTCTACATGTCGCCGTCTATCTATCGTCTATCTATCGCCCAGACATTTGGACATGCAGCACAATTTATGCGCCGAGTGGGAAGTTGGGCAAAGGTCGACTCGAGTCCTGTTGTCTGGCTTGTTGTTTACTTTGGCTGCCCGTCCACTGATATGCTTTTGTTGTCGTTACTCAGCGCAGTAACATGACAACTCCTTGCTTGTCCTTGTTCGCTGTTCTGTTGCTGACTTTAACTAACCCTTGGATTCTTACAAAGTTCGTGTCGTCAATTGTTGTTTCCTATGCGCCTTCGCTTCACGTAGAGAGCATATTGGCTTGGTTAAGTTTGAATTGAACTCACTTTGTGTTAGGAGAGGAATGAAGAAGTGTGAATCAATCGCCGCTGTTGATATGCCTGATTAAATATATATATATATATATAGCTTATTAAACAAGCGCAATACCTTTTCTGATAAGCATATTTCAGCTGCTTTGTCTGCTATTGCCAAGATCTAGTTCTTGAAATGTTTATTAAGTTTTGCCTTTGATCCCTTTTCGCCTGACATTCTACATTCAGCGCGATTCATCAGTGGCTTTAAAAAGTTCGAAAGTTCAAGCCAACTTTTAGCTGGCGATGCATAAGCAGTCAGGTAACTGGTATTGAAGCAGGGCGGTTAAATTTGAACTGTTGCCAATGTTTAAGACTCTGTCAAGATTAGTGAATTACTTGTTTGAATGATGTGAATAAGTTTTATAGAATGGCATAGTTGTAGCTTTAAGATAAAATAAAAAGGAACTGAACATTCCAAACAACTTTTTATTTTATAGCAATTTCTTTGTCTATAGCTCTTATTTGGTCAACCTATAGAATGAGAAAAGTCCTTGAATTTTATGTAAATTTTGGGAGTAATTAATTTCTTTTAATGGGTATTTAATATATTTTTGCTTAGTTCTTACAGCTCTTAGTAGAGTTGAAGCGAGTATTGCACAGTCAACTACACCCGCTCTCTCTCTCTCTCTCTGTCTCCCTCTCGCCTGCACGCTGACTAGAGTCAAACCTGCTCTCGTATTAAAGCGTTGATTAGTTGCTTTGGGTGATTAGTGATTGCATTTTGTAATTGCTCCCGCTGCGCTTGCTCTACTTTCCAGTATCAAGGCTCTAACTACGCACATATCTGATCTCCACTCAGAAATTAGCATAAGCGAATGTACATTAAATAATTCCCTTTGCAATTTGCATTTTCACTTCATTTAATGCAATTTTTATACATTTTTTTTTAATTCTTTCGCTGTTCTGCGTGTCGTGATGCATTTTAGTAATTATTTTAGCTTCATTTTTTATTAGTCTGTTTCATTAGTCATTGCCATTTAGCCGAACCATGCAATTAGCACGGAAATTAACAAATCCGATGTGCATTTGGACTTGAAATAATTTAATTTCTTTACCCTCCCCTCCCCCTCTCCCAGTAATAATTAAGCAAATTAATATTAATTGCATGCATTTCGTTAATCAAATGATTGTTGTTGATAATGCAGCCAGGCAAAAGCTGCAAACTCTCAAACAACGTTAATTGCCATTGACACAATAAATTATTCAACACTGGTTAACAAATTAATAGTGTTGTATAGCGATTTCTATTAACAATTCACACAAAACTAATTACTCAATTAAATTTTAGTTAAATCGAGCAGTTTTAAGACCTAAAATAAATGGTAATGCACTAAAAAGAGTAATTGAGTCAAAGAGGGCGTGGCAGGGCTCATAGAGTATATAAATATTACATAAGTAGTACAAGTAGTACCCATAAGGTATATATATAATGAAAAGAGGGAAGAGAGTTTGCTCAATCTGGCCATGCGCATCTGTTCCTCTATCTAACTATGTTTCAATGCATTTATCTCGAAAACTACAAAAGCTAGCGATTTGAAATTTATTATATATATTCATATGTATTCATGTAGCACAAATTAATTTAGTTTTTTTCAATCACCCATACCCTTTGCTTAATATCAATAAATCTTAAGTTTAATTTTGCTTTTTATCATAACTTAAGAATCGTTTGAGCTAGAAACACCAAAATTTGGTATGTTGGCTTTCGTACTAACTGCACAAATTCGTTCATTATGATATTTGCATGTCCTTACCCATTCTATATAAGATTTATAAAACAAATGATAACTACTAGATGTACAAACTTGAATTTTGATATACGCATATTTTTAGCTGTCATATATAAATTCTGAAAATTTCACTTTTATTGTACGCCTAGAACCCGAGTTATTTGAGAACTCTCACTACAAAGTGGAGGCTATAGCGAGAATAAGCTAAGGGTAAATAAGCAGCGCGAGTGCCTCTGTGTGCGTATATATGTAATCGTGTCTAAGTTTATATGTGCAGTTAACCTAGAGCCATAGTTGAATAATTTTCAATATTCTAAGGATATTAGTAAAGTCATATATATTCGAATCGATGAAATAATAACCGCAAATATTTATCAAATCAAGTCGAATTTAGTAAAATTTAAAACATATTCTCAATTTATTGTGGGCTCCATGCTTGCCATGCTTCATGCATAACAATTATGGGTGCTACACAACACTGTAAAACGGTAAACTTTAAAATTTGGTATTAAGACAGACAGAATTGCGTAAAAAGGAGAAACAAATGAATTTCTCGGCTATATTCAACTGTGTTTGCACTCATTCTGAAACTTTGATGGCAATACGATATTCGATTTACGATATTCGATTTGCCATTTACGATTTGCGATATGCGACTTATGTTATTCGACTTAAGATGTACGATTTACGCTGAATTGGAGGTCTTGAAAAAAGTGTTCTGGGCCGTATTTGGATAACGCTTGTTAGTGAACATGGGCTTCTGGATGCGGAAGGTGCACAGGAGATTCTCATCGACACACATCATGGCCCCGGCATTGTCGAACTCACCGCAATAGTTGGGCGCCGAGAAGATGGTTAGGAGCTGGCGGTTGGCAAAGAACTCGTAGCCATCCTCGACCACCTGATGGGCACGGCAGATGAGGCTGAAGCCATGCCGCTTCAGAAACGAGCCGACGATATCTGCCCCAAAGGTGTAGCTGACGCCCCGATTGTTGAGACCCCATCCAATTGTGCGGTCATCCGGATCCGACCAGAGCAGATCACAGAGCAATCCCTGTTCGGGTATCTCGCATGGCCGCGAGATCTTGCGTATCTGATCCATGCTGAACAGACTCGGACTCAGTCCGCCGTGACAGCAAAAGATATTGTCCTCGACTACCGCCGCCACCGGCATGCAGCTGTAGCAGTCGACAAAGCTGCGCCACAGCTTGACCGTGTACCGGCGCTTGCACTCGTCGTAGAAGCCGTAGATGCGGTTCACGCTGGAGCTCTCGTGGTTGCCGCGCAGCAGATAGATGTTATCCGGATAGCGCAGCTTCAGCGCCAGCAGCAGGGTCAATGTTTCCACAGACTGCTTGCCGCGGTCCACATAGTCGCCGAGGAGCAGGTAATTGGCATTTGGCGGATAGCCCGAGACCTTAAAGTACTTGAGCAGATTGTGGAACTGTCCGTGCAAATCGCCCAGGATGTTGATAGGCGCACGAAGCTTTAGCAGCATTGGCTCCTTGAGCAGCAGCTCGCGCGCCTGTGCGCAAATCTCACAGATCTCGTGCTCCTCGAGCGCCATACTCCCGTCCACCAAGATCGGCTCTGTGAGCCGTGCGATGATCTCGTCCAGATGGGACGACAGCAGCTCGCAGCTGCTCTCGCCCGATGACAAGTGTGTGGCTGGCTCCGTTACCGCTTGCTTCGCTGCCAAGATTCGGTTTTTCTTGGCCACAATGTCCATGCAGTAGCCAACGGCGGCATCCTTGGACAGGTAATTGATGGACGTGGCTGAGGATGTGGCTGCGGATGTGTGTTTCTGATAGGATGACATATGATACTTTGTTATCGACTGTTGTTGTTTTTGCTTTATTCTTTTTGCTTCGTCTTTTATTTGCTAAGCCGCAAGTCCAAGGATTGCAACAATTTGGAATTTCGATGAGCCTCGTTTTGAGAAGTCTGTGTTTTGTTTCGATTTTCAATTCTGTATGACTTTTGGTCAATGGAAATAAAATACTTGAACTACTATGGAATTTGCTCACAAAAGCTAAATATGATGAGATTTTCACTGGAAAATCCTTTTCAGCATTTCCCTGAGTGCTGTTCACATAGTCAATTAGGCCGAAGAGCTTTCGAGTAGCTGTTTTTTTCACTATGCTGAAAGAGGCTTTGTTGTCTGTTGATTGACAGTTTCTAAATCAGTTTCTCTCGCTGCCCCTCGCAATCAGGGCAACATTCTTAGCACAGCCCTGTGACAAATCTCTGGCTCAATAGATACAGCACAAAGCACGCTTCTAACTGTCTTTCAATCAACTAAATTTCTAGCTCTCTTGCTCTCTCACTCTCTGTCTCTCTCTGCTTTTATTTTTCAAATCAACATAATGGACACTTTGCCCGGCAGCTACGGCTCAGCGCCACCACCGCTCTCAGCGACGATGGGCCACACATAAAAATACAAAGGCAAACTTCACTTTTGGCTTTGACAGCTGACACGAAATGCAAAAAGCAACGCATTTGTGTGGGTGGCCCCCCAGCCCAGCCCAGCCCAGGGAGGGTTGCTCATAATATGCAAGCACCAAGCCGAATACACACACACACACCCTGCGCCAGCACTCTGCTATCGCATTCCATTTCATTCCAGCTCTTGGTTCTAACCTACCGCAGATGCAGATTTCTGCTTTGGCCTGTCACTCATTAAGCATTTTGCCAACTGCAACTTAGTTCCGTTGTTTTCATTGTTGTCCTTGTCATGCCAAGTGTCACAACAGTCGCCTGCATTTCGTTGATTTTACGAGCGTGTGACAAGCAGCTAAAAACGATTGGGAATTCTGCGAAGCAGAATGTGAAACTGTGTGTAAGACTTCTCTCTCGATTAGTTTGACGCAACAACAACGCCTTCAGGCGTAGACGTGCCTACCAGAGGGTGCTTCAAAAATAAGCGAAAAATTGACTAATGGCAAAATAATAATAGTCTTTTCAGCATATGTCATATAATATTTGTAGATTACTCAATTTAGCTTTTATGTTACCCGAACCCCTTTGACCCTTATGTACGCCACTGTTGCTCTTGTCAAGTTGACAACATGTTGCCCACATATTTAGCGCGGTTGCTGCTCTGATTGAGTATTTGTCCAAGAAATATATTTGCCTCTCACACTCCTCCTCTCTGCCAACTACTTCTGTGTATATGGATTTGCGTAGCACTTTGTGTTCCTCTCTTTCGCGTTTTGTTTTGTAGGCAAATATTAAAATATTTCACACGAAAAACTTACACGACTGCGTGTGTGTGTGTGTGCTGCAGTTTTGTGCTATTTTTACATCGCTTCGCTGCGGCAGAGCACAGCTGGGCCTTTTACATTGACTGTGGAGGGAAGTTGGGCCACCGACTGCGCCGCTTTGCTTATCTAATGGGCTGCAGTTGCAGTGACTGTGGCGGCGACTGCTTATCGCTATTTCCATTGTTGTTGTTTTTGTTACTCCTGCTGCTGCGCCCACACATGTATTCAGCCTCTGTCACTCTTTGAGCTGCTGTCTCCGACTCTTTCTCTTATACGTTTTGTTTGCTGTTGTAGTTGTTAATTGCTCGTCGCTACTTTCTTGCACCCTTCACAATGCGCCGTTAATCACAGCAGAGCTGTGGTAAAATGAAAGGAGAGAAAGAGAGCGAGTGAGCGGCGCACACATCAATGTAAAATTGTTGTTGGCTTTCGTTAATGGGTTTTTATTTGTTTATATGAGCGTCTAGAAAATATGATGCGTCTGCATATGAGGGACACCCCTCTGTACCCCGCCCCTGCAATTCTATTGACCATTTGCGCTTTTAGTTTTGCGCTGCTCATGGGAATTTTTACAACTGTTTTCCCTGACAAGTGCTCTTCGAATATTCGTATAGAGGAGCTGGGGTAGCTGCGACATTTCAGTTGTCATTTTTCGACTTAAGTTTTGCTCTTATATGTTATTAGAACTGCCAAAGTTGTGGGTACATTTAAGTGGGCGTGTTCTTTGGCTTTGAGTAGACAATTGAAGCTTTTAAGTTCTTTTTTTCTCGGTCTATTATTAATTTGAATTTTTAATGTAAAACTTAATGTTGTTTACAGTACGGCAAGAGTCTTATTTGTTTTTTCTTAAGATTTATGGGAATGGAATATCTTATATTCTGTAATCTAAATATTGTATATGTATTCCCGTCGAGAACCCCACATTAACTCAATATGTTTTCATCAATCAATGTCATAGCAATCATGTATGTAGTTGTATATATGTTTATATTCAATCAGAAATCAATTAAGTATTTATTGACAGAAATCTGAGATGTCAAAAATAAATCAAAAATATTAAATTGCACTCGTTTCCGGTAAATCAAAAAATCCCCCATTGCAAATACTCGAATCTAAACTGTCAAAAACTAAAAACTTACTATTTTTTAGATAAATAGTGTACATTTCTATACTTCTAATATATTTACTATAACTGAAATTTCATCAACATTTTCACATTTCTAATTTGACATATGGAATGCAAAATTTCATCAATTCGACGTTTTGATTGAAAATGCATTGTCGATATTTGTGTGGGGACTAATTAACACTTTTATGATGTGACATAATATTTCACTTTGGGCTGGGGAATTTGAGTGGAAACCCACATGATAGACAGCAGGCGGTGGCCCTGACCCAACAGCAGCAGTTTTGCATGTTGTTGTTGTTGTAATTATGTGTTGTAAATGCGACTGTTGACATGTAGAATTGTTTGCAGTTATGAAACAACGACGTCGCTAATTAAGCAATCATAACTGTTAAACTGTGGGTTCAATTCGTTTAACGTTGCATTGTTGAAATATGTTTGAAATAATTTACTGCAACTATTTAATTAAAGACAAAGTATGTTAAATACTATATATGAGTATTAATAGCAATATATTTATTTGTTAAAAAAAAAATCAAAAAAGTATTTTCTCAACTGACCCCGACGTGATTTGAACACGCAACCTTCTGATCTGGAGTCAGACGCGCTACCGTTGCGCCACGGAGTCATATGTTACGATCCGCCGTTAACTGTCAGCTAGAGCTACGCTGTCAGCTAATCTGATTCTTTTTGTTTTGTTCGTCCAGTTTAGCAAGTGCATATTTATGGCATGCAACAACAAAAGTACAGCTAGCAAATTGTATAAGTAAGCGTGTGTGTGAGTGTGTCTATAAATACATTGAGCACTGCAAACATGTTATCTTATCATATGCGCACAGTGGAATGGGCGCGATATTGCTTGCGCTAAATTCAAATAATAATTTCTTATCGCAGAAATACAATTAACAAGCCATTTTATTTTTTCTGTGTATTTTATGTGTTCTAATCATTTATACCGATTCCGGGTTGTATGCTATTTGTTTATTCAAATGCATTTCGTCGGCGATTCAGATTTATTAAGAGTTCCGTGTCCGTGTTCCCTGTCGGTTGTCAGGCACCTGATGTTAGGGCAGACGTGTGCCGCCAAAGCTTTTAGCTGTCGCCGATGCCGACGGAATTCACACAACGAGCCCAAAATAAATATAAATCACAGCGGGAACAACAGCCAACCGAGGAAAATGAATGAAAATGCTGCACATTTGGAGGAGAAAACACGGCCAACGGCTTTCGGTTGTTCTGTTTATTTATTCATTGATTTTTATACACTAGCCAGAGCTCGTATCGGCGCAGTATTCTTGTAAATGGAAATGCATTTCGATAAACCCCACCCAGATGGGCCCTATAAAATTGATTTCGATTTTCCTTTTCCCGAATTGTGACTAATTGTGTGAGACTCCTCCACAGTCTTTGGGTGGCATTCACTTCGTAGAACTCCAGCTGTTTTCATTGTTTAGAAATTAATTTTCCAGCACTGAATTTACACTGTGAAAAATATATATGTGTATATGTTTGTGGCTATCGACGGGTTGCCTTTTTTATGGCTATTTTTATGTTTTAATATTTATGGTTTTTAATGTTCATATTTAGTGCGGCTGCCTACATGGGTTTACAATTTCCGTGCCATGGACCCATTTTAGCCACGTCTTGGACATGCTTCGAGCAACGGAAATCGATCGTAAAGTTTTCACTCTCTAAATCTTAAGAGTTGACAAGTTCCCACGGGCAGGCAAAGCTGAACAAAGTTATTGGGGAAATAATCACATAAATCAGTTGGATATAAATATGAGACTAACGGGTATTTAGGTGCTTAGCTCTTTGATACTTTCGACAGTCTTTTGGTAATGTGTATAATTATATACTTAGTTTATAGAGTTTAGAGCATAGTTAATATTTCCCATTTCATCTTGATTTTCAATTCATATTTCCATTGATTTACATAAATTTGGCCTATTAAGTGAATAGCTAAAAGGTTTTTGACAGTCAAATCTGATTAAATTTTTTATTTAAGAATTTAATTTCCCTTTGAATGTGAATCACTAAAATAAACCTATAAAATCAATTTTTAGGGATATTTTAGCTTAAAAGTAGATTGTTTCCTCATATGGTTGGGTCTCTCTCACAAAAAGACTATCTCGCTCTCACTCTCTCTCTCTCTCTTTCTTTAAGTCTCTCTGTTTCTTTATCTCCTTCTATCTCTTTTAGTCTTGCTCTTCCTCTGTTACGCTTAGTCACTCTTTGTCATTCTCTACCGCTCTCGCTATAAAAAAACCGACTAAAGATTAAATTGAAACCATAGCAAAAGCAAGTAAGTGTTATTTCAGCATAACTAGAGCTCAATCAACTCGAGCTAAAAGTCATTCTCAATCAGCAAACAGTTATAAAAACATATGCATGCATGTGTATGTGTGATGCATTCAGGCTCTACACACATACACGCTCACATACTCATACACACTTAACGACTCTCGAACATTGCACTTAACCAAGTCGAGTGTAAACAACATGTTAAAGAAATGAATGGAGTCATATAGAAATGGCTCATATAACATACACACACGAACACTCACCTACTCTCTTTTGCAAGAGTTGCAAACTCTGATCAGCTTAAGCCAAACAAAATGAAGAACAACATTTGTAGAG